CATGCAAAAACGCATAAAAACGCATATTGGGAAGAAGCTGTCTGTGTGTGTGTGTGTGTGTGTCTGTGTATTTGTGTGTTCGCACTTTTTGTCACCCATTTTTAACTCGAGAACCAGAAAAGCTAGAAGGCTGAAATCTTGGGAGTATTTTGGAGTACCCATACCATGCGCGATCCTCGCATTTTAGTTTCATCCCCTGCGGACGCCTGAGTGCCATGTACGGACGCTTTAAAAAAATATGCAAATTTTTTGGGGGGAAAGCGATCTCGGAAATCGCAAGAGCTAAGGGGCTGAAACTTTGTTGAGATTTCCCTGTGCATGCACTAGCTAAACATTTCAAATTCAGCCCCCCAGTTATGCGTGGTACTCACATAAGGATGTGCGAAAGTTTCTGCGAGTAAATTGCTAACTCGGCAACCAGAAGAACTGGAAGGCTAAAATTTTAGGGGAACGTTCTCTGTTCAAGTACAACTTAAGTATTTCAAATTCAGCCTTGAGGTATGCATAGTTCTTACGTACGGGCACTTAAAAGTCTTGGCGGAAAAATTTCCCGCTGAATAACCAGGTTACTTTTAAAGAACGACTGTTAAATGAAAATTGTACATTTACTTTACAAAATTTATAGTGATTTATGCTAGTGACCGCAAAAAGTAGGTGTAAAGCAACAGCTATTCATGCAGTTAATGACCTGAGTACTTCAAGTCCGGTGCAAAAATGTATGATCGCACAGGCCCACCTGGCGCGTTCCAGCCTGGGTTTTTTTGCTAGGTCTTTAGTCACATCCACGTTGTGCTAAATTTTATGCAATGAGCATTGGTAAGCTTCACAGCAGTAATACTCACACTGCAAGACATGGTTCGGGTTTGGTCTTGCGAAGACATGTGTCTTCATGGTTCGTTGGATCAAATAACCCGAGGATCACAATGTCAATATGCCCTTCATGCCCCGTCATAACTTCTTTTTTAGAGGTTGAAAAAAGCGACAAAAATTTTCAAATCATGAGTGAAAAATTAGCAAGTTTACAGAAGCTCGCTTTTCTTGTCCTTTTGAATTTTCAGGTTTTTAGTTTTTTCAATTTTCGAATTAACCTAACAAAAACGCCTAGTCCAGATTAATATCTATAAAAGTTTTGTCACTTTTAAGGTGATTTTACCAAAAATAACGGCACGCAAGAAAATATAGGTAGTTAATAAATACAATACGAACTTGCATTTCTTCGATTTCTTGTTGCAAATCCTTTACGTCCGCTTTCAAGGTCTCATTCTCCTCCATCAATTCCTCGCATAGCGACTCCGATGCCTTCAGTTTCTCGGCTAACTTTGCATTCTCCGGGTCGTTGCCACCTTCTGCTCCGTCACATTCCTGTTAAACGCTTAAGTTCCATGAAGCAGGGAGTAGTAGAATCGTTTCTCTTGAAGCGCTGTTCAGCACAGTTAAACACTTAATTTTAAACTAAACTGAATCGCATTTAAGTTTGAATTTTTGAAATTTTGCTATTCAATACTACTACTATTATAGAACAATGAATATTTGAACTAGCTTTTTCATATCTTAATTAAATATTCCTTGTTAGTTTTTAGCGCTCTTGCTGATAGAACAAAAACGCACTAATCTAGTGCATTGTTGAGAGAGACCCGGGTCGAAGAAGAATGGAGAAGCTACCAGCTACCTCAGTGGCGATAAGAAATACAGCGATGAAGTAGAAGCCGATCAAAAACTAAGTTTTGTTGATTAGATGCGCATCTGGTAAATCAGAAAAGTCTTCCCACCCATAATGCAAAAAAGAAACTCAAATTATCTTTCGCTACCAAAATTTTTCAGAAAGCATTTTCTCCGAAAAAGTTTCTGGTTTCATTGTGCGTTATAATTCTTGTCCAAGCTGGAAAAATATTGCCGTTACTACCTGCAGCTCTCGAAGCTCACATTTCAGCACCGTATTTTCATCTCGATAATCCTGTATACAGTTTTCTGCCTCAGCTAGCCGCTCCTCCAGCATCTCAATCAACGACTCGTCACCCGCATTTTGACATTTTCCCCTGCAAAAATCAAGAAGTGTTGTTGACATGACGAGCAGTAGAATTTGTTGAATTTAAAGAATAAACACAGAAACCTTCTCACTGCCCACTTCTGTCTTTCTTCTTTCAGCTGTGTTACTTCTTCCGTTAAACGAGCTATTTCATTTTTCATCACTGACGCATCAAAATTGTTCTAAAACAGAAAACGCTATATTTGTCTTTTGAGTTTCACTGCCAAAAAAACGCAGGCTTAATTTAATGAAGAATAGAGCGAAATATTTGTATTTTAGGATTATGGTACTGTCAATCTTTTTTAAGAAACCCGGGGAAAGGAAAGCATCGACTTATTCTGCTAGTAAATTGTTGCTATTGGCAATTGCTGTCACTTGGCCACCTCTGGGGGTCTCCAGTTCTCGTAGAACATGAATACAGATAGGATTTCTGCTTTCGATTTTGCACTTTTTCAATGGCTACGCTGTTGTTCACTAAAAATTTTTGTGCGTAAAATAAAAAGATGGAGCAGTTGGGAATTTCTCAGAGTTCAGTGTTTTCCCATAGTTTTGGGAACAAAAAGAATCAAGTTACTGGTGCAAGCCACTTGAGAAAGTATTCCATTCCAGTTTTTCTGTCTGAAGAAGGCATTCACAATAACGAAGCTTTTGTTTTTTGGCACTGCTATTGGGAAACTACAAATTCTTGTGAATTCCAGGAACAGATTAAGTCTATTATTTTAAAATTTCTCAATGGACAAATAAACAGGTAACCTGAACCCATTCAAGAAAAGCATTGATGAGTTTTTTGGACCTTTGTTTTAATGATATCCTGGAGTATTTATATGTTTACGGCTTTTCTGAAGAATTCGCCACTCTCTTCCGGACCTCACTGCTCTAACTAGACTTTTTGAAAAATAGCGCACAGAGTTTTCATCAACAAGATCTAAAAAGCTAAAAGTCATCTGCTCGCTGGCACAATTATTTCACTGTAGAGCATAAAAATTTTGCTAGTAAGCTTGTTTTCGGGCAATTTGAATGAGTTGGGAGTGAGCAACATGTTAGGGCAAAGCCAGAGTTCAGCAGAAGCTGGATTTCTGCTAAGTACCATTACCCTCAATCTCCTCGAAAAAACAGCTGATTTTATACGTAAAAAAATTTTCTTCAGTAAATGAGATGAAAAATGGGCAAAACGAATAAACGTTTATCAAATGCGCGTCAGCTGGACTACGGGTTAACATCTGAACCTATACGTAGTGAACACACTTGGGTCGAAGGCGAAATGACTGGCACTGTACCACAGGAGAAGCAGACGAGCTTAAAACCTCTTTTTTTCATGCGAAATCGCAGATAAAGAAAAGGGAGAGGACGAAGAAGCCTCAACCATTACAGTTTTGAGAATGAGTTTTATGAACAGACTGGTAATTTCAGAAGAACCACCGACCGAACTGCTTTCCATGGGCGTAATTGCTCGTTCATCATCCTGAATGCTTTCAGAAATGGCTGTAATCATGCTCTTGCTGTCCTGATTCGATGATATACTCTCGGCCGACTTCGCACTTGAGAGACCTTTCGAGCTAGCTGACTTGTATGATGTGCATGACGTCGTGTCTTCGTCATTCACTGCAACTTTATCAGTGCTTAAAAAATATGCTTAGGAGCTAATGTGATCAAGACAAGGTGGACAGTCATGCAAGCGATTTTTTTTTGTCAAAACTGTAACATTCATTTTCTTTTTTTGCCAAAACTGTAACATTCATTTTCTGCAAAATTCTTTTTTTGCTATTCACCTCGCAATAAACGAAATTTTTAACTTCGGCTAAAATAGTTTGCTCTTCATCATTATTTCTTTATTGCAACCTGGCTACCAGGCGGGCCAATGCGATCATGCGTTTCCGCAACGAATTTGAAGTAATTAGGTTAACTGCATGAATGATTGTTTCTTCACACCTACCTTGTGTGCTCAATACCGTAAATAATCGTAAATTTTGCATAAACAAAAATAAACAATTTCCGCTTAGCGATCGTTTTTTGAAAATGATCCAGCTGTTCAGTGAGTAATTTCCCCGCCAAAAACTTAAGTGCTGTGCATAAGAACCAAGCGTACTTCGAGGCCGGTTTTGAAACATTTAAGTTGTATTTGGACGCGGAATATTCCCCCAAAATTTCAGCCTCCCAGCTTTTCTGGTTCCCGAGTTAGCCATTTTCCCGTCAAAAAATTTCACGGGCCATACGTGAGAAACACGCATCCTGGGAACTGGATTTGACAACTTTAAGTTGTAAATGGGCGGGGAACATCCCATTAAAATTTCAGCCTCCTAAGCTGGCTCCCAGTTTAGCAATTCTTCCGCTAAGAACCCTCACCAGGCCATACGCGGGAAGCTGAGTCTCAAATATTTGGCAGTTGAGATAGCTGCTAGAGTCTCAAATGTTAGTCGTCGATTCGTAGAAGAGAGGATAGAAAGTACTCGCTGTTGCTTAAAAGTACACTCAATCAGGCATGAATAAGTCTATCCGGCTTTACTATATTAGATGAAAGCTGACGAGGATTGGAGGTTGTAGTGAATTTGAAACTCACCTTCGACGACATGTTCCGGTGCGCCGTTGTCTTGTGTCGCTGACATTTTT